GTGAAGTCCTCAAGATTTCCTAGCACAACTTAACATACCACCTTCGGCCGGGGCCTAGTGCCATCTCTCACCGGGGCGGGCTCGCGTGTCTTCTGTCTTGTAGCTGTTTGAGGAGCTGCAGGAGCTGCTGAGCCAGGACCCCGAGGACCAGAGCCCCTCGCAGGCCCCGGGGCTGCGCCGGCGTGTTGACAGTGGGGTGCAAGGTGAGGCCTCCCCGCCGGGATGAGCTCTGTGGAAGGCAAGCCCGGGGCCCGGCTGTCTGTCTCTGTTTTCTGAGTATTTTAAGTGAGAAGTAGAGTGCGGGCACAGGGCCCTGGGGCCATCTTTCGGAGTGTGGCTCAGGGCCAGCTGTGCAACCTCAGTCTTCCCATCTCTAAAATCAAGGGCAGTCGAGGGCGCCTGGGTGGCTCAGTTGGTTAAGCGACTGCTTTTGGCTCGGGTCATGATCTTGGAGTCCCGGGATCGAGTCCCACATCGGGCTCCCTGCTTGGCAGGGAGTCTGCTTCTCCCTCTGACCCTCTTCCCTCTCGTGCTTTCTATCTCTCACTCTCTCCCTCTCTCAAATAAATAAAGAAAATCTTAAAAAAAAAAAGAATAAAATCAAGGGCAGTCGACAAGTTCTAGTTCACTGGTTACAAGTACAGACGTGCACACAAAGGACCCTCAGGAGTCATGGGCAGAGCGTGTGTGTGTGTGTGTGTGTGTGTGTGTGTGTGTGTGTAGCCCAACGTGGGGCGTGTGTGTGTGTGTGTGTGTGTAGCCCAATGTGGGGCGTGTGTGTGTGTGTGTGTGTGTGTGTGTGTAGCCCAACGTGGGGCGTGTGTGTGTGTGTGTGTGTGTGTGTGTGTGTGTGTGTAGCCCAACGTGGGGCTTGAACTCACGACCCTGAGGTTGTGAGAGCAAGAGTCGGATGCTCAACGGACTGAGCCATCCAGGTGCCCCATGAGCCTCTTAATTTAGATACTTTTTTTCGGCCCTTTCAGGGTTCCTGAGCAGAGACTGCCTGATGTGGGGCAGGGTGGCTGGGAGCGGTCCTAGCTGTTAACCGTGCCATGGGACACCGGGAAGACAAGGAACCCCCCTGGGTCTTATTGCATGTCAGTTCCTCTCTCATGTGCCTCAGAGGGAGACATGTGCTGAGAGAATATCTGGAAAACTTCCAGAAAGACCAAAGTGCTCCACGAAATATACCCTCACTGAGCCTGACACACGGTTGGGCGGGATTGTGGCTCGGCGGTTGGGGGGGTTGAACAAAGAGGTGAAGCCCAGCTGCCTGCTCGGCAGGTTACTGAAGCCTTTGCTCCTGGAGCCACCCTCCCCCGCCTGCCCTGTGGCTTCCCCACCTGAGCCGGGACCACGTGGAACCCTCTGTTGGTGGAATTGTGCCTGGGAACATGGGAAGGAGGCCAGTCCTGATGGGATGGGATGAGCTACCTGGTAGGGGGAGGGGTCTTTACCCTCAAGCAGTGTGGTCCCCTCGAGTGCTCCTGGAGGGTGTGTTCTCACAATGTGGGCTGGCTGAAAATGGAAAAGTGGACAGCTTGGAGAAGTAGTAAGCTCCCTGTCTTTGGAGGTATCTAAGCAGTGGCCAGAGGGCTCCCTGTCTGCGCTAGCAGAATCCTGGCATTGAGCAGGGACTGTACTAGAGACTGCTGAGGCCCTTTTGCTGTGTTTTTCTGTGACCTCCCATACGCCCCACCTCTGTCCACCTGTTGGTGACATTGCCCCCTCTCTCTTTCAGACTCGACTCCCACGGAGACTCCCAGAGGGAAGCCCCAGCTCAGCCTTCTCTCCCAGGCACCGCTCCTCCGATGGGTCCTTACGCTCAGCTTCCTGGTGGCAACGGTTGCTGTGGGGCTTTATGTCATGTGAATGCAAGGGCGCTGGCTCCTTACACTGTGAGCTGTGTCCAGTGGAGGGCCTGCTTTCTGGAGAAGGCATCTCTCTTGGCTGGCTTCCTTACCTTAGACATGGGGGGCTGTCTGTGCCCCCCACCCTCTCCCTGCATCCCTGTCTTTGGAAAGGGAGTCTGTGACATCATCTTCCCCAACCAAAAGCACATCCAGCTCACTGACATGAACTTCCAAAGTGGGATGAGCATCCTGCCTGGCCCCTCAGCACTCCCAGTTCCTGCAGCAGAGCCCAGAAGACATGGCCAGAAGTGGCAGCTCTCTTGAACCTCCAAATGCCCTGGGTTCACGGTCTCCTTGACATGCCATGACCGCCTCTCTGTGGGCCATGGCAAGTTTCATATAAATGTGCAACGATGTTGTGTCTTGTGTTTGTCTTGTTTTTTTTGGAGCCACTCTTTGTTACTGGCTCCACCTGAACTGTGGTATTTTGTTATGTTCTGTTTTTATAGCAGAGTTGGGGGGAGTTTTGGGGGTGGGGTTGGGAGGGAGGTGTTTAATAACACTGTGGCCTTGCCTCTAACTTTTGCGTGAAATAATAAACTCCAGTGCCTGATAGTAACTGGAAGTGTTTTTCTTGGGCTCTTGTTACCCTTGGGGAGCTGAACGTTTCCCTGCTTGTCTCTTGAATGCCTGGTGGGGAGAAGGGGTGAAGTGGTGGTGGAAGGGACTGGTTTCGGATGTTGGTCTCCGTTCTGAGAATGTGGGGGGTGAGCTTTGGGCAGCTGGTGTGTGAATCTTTGTGTTGAACCTTGTTTGATGCAAGACTCAGCTTTACTGAGGATGGCATTGCCCTGTTAGGCTCAAATGAGCCGATTCTGGGATACAATTTACTTAGTGGATGCAGTGAATCTTTGGGACTCCAGTGAGATCCCTGGGTTCCAATCCTTCCACTCTGCTTTGTAGCTCTGCCTTTGAGGTTAGTTATTAACCTCTCTGGGGCTCAGTTCTGTCACCTGTAACGTGAATACAGTGAGACCTATCTCACCTGCCTGTCTTGAGAAGCAAATGAGATGCAGGTAAAATGCCAACACTGGACCACATGAGCTCCTATTATGAAATGAGGGTGATCGGGGGTTTGTGATTTTTGCTAAGTGATTTTTGTGCTGTGTGTGTGAGTCACTTCCCCTATGTCCCCTCATTTAATGCTCACAGCAAACCCGTGAGGGGTGCTACCACTCTGGGGGGCAGGAAGGATGTAAACCAGATCTGTGCAGCTCTAAAACCCACGTTCCCCCCCACCCCACCCCCGGCCTAAGTCATGAAAGCCACTGAAATATTAATATTGCAGCTTCCCAATCTGGGCAAGTGAAAACCCCTCCCTGAAGGTGGGAAAGCAGAAGAGAAAGTGTTTCCTTAACACCACGAGTACCTGAGGACTGGGAGTCAGGAGAACTTTGTGCCCAGTCCTGGCTTTGTCACCAAGCCTGGAACCTTGGACAAGTCACTCGTCTCCTTTTGTTCACTGGCAAAATGAAAATAATACACCTAACCTCCCACAGCCGGTGGAGGGCCCAGGGGTATCTAAATGCCAGTGCATGGATGGTGGTGTCAGAATCACTGGGGGATCTTGGGCCCCACCCTGAGAGGTTCTGAGCCTGGAGACCTGGGGCAGGACTCTGGAATACTGTTTGTGAAAAGTTCCCTGAGAGATTCCAAAGTGCAACCAGGCCCAGGAGCCACAGTTTATGAGATTCTGTTGGCCAAGAGCAGGCATTCGAATAGCTGTAGCTCTTCCCACCCTAAGCCTACTTCCCAGCTTTCTGTGAAAGGGACATCAATGTTCATTACTTGTAGTGATAAAGAAAGGAGGGAGGAGAGAGACAGAGAAACAAATCACCTTGATTCTACTTACAGGAAGATGGCCCAATAGTCTGTATTCTATTCATACTATGGAGAATCAGCTGTTAAATACGATGAGTTGGGCACCTGGCTGGCTCAGTCCCCAAAGCATGCAACTCTTCATTTCGGGATCCTGAGTTCGAGTGCCACGTTGGGTGCAGAGAATACTAAAAAATAAAGATTTTATTTATTTATTTGACAGAGAGAGACACAGCGAGAGAGGGAACACAAGCAGGGGGAGCGGGAGAGGGAGAAGCAGGCTCCCCGCGGAGCAGGGAGCCCGATGCGGGGCTCGATCCCAGGACCCTGGGATCATGACCTGAGCTGAAGGCAGAGGCTTAACGACTGAGCCACCCAGGCGCCCCAATACTAAAAAAATAAAAAAATTAAAAAAATAGAATGAGTTAAGTCTGTTCTGTCCTCAGAGGAACCTCCATGAAGTATTAATGAGAAAAGCAAGTGTCAGATTCATTTGTGTTTTATACACTGTAAAAAATACACGTATTTTACATACTCCGCGGGAATGTTTCCAAGACTGTGGCAAAGGGGATAAAAAATTTCCAGTTGTTCCTCCTCGACAGTGGGAATGGAAAAGAAGGGAAGAGAGATTACGCTGCTGGAGAACGCCGAGTTTTGCCAAATCTGTTTTTCAAGCTAGGTTGGGTATCTGGTCGTGAATTTTCGCAAATTTTAAGCATTGCCAAGGGATGAGAAATCTACAACGAAAAAAGGTATCACCCTTTGGGTCTAAGAAAACATCCTTGAGTCGCAAGGATGGGACGATTTCGGGCCCAGCGTTGACTTATTTCTGACTATCTCCAACGTCAGGAGGGTGTGTGACAGGGAGGGCTGGGCGCAGAGGGCAGCGGGCTCCCGCCGGGAGCGACGACGGCTTTTGGAACCCCCAGATCTTCCTGGCCCTGGCTCTGCAGGCGGTCATTTTCCCAGAAGACTTGTAAAAAGGCTCGAGGGGTGTACACAGGAAGCCCTCGCACGCACTCGCCGCCCGGGCCGGAAGGCTTCCCCGCCGCCATCTTTGCGCCCGCAGCGCCGCCGCTTCCTCCCGGGGCAGAAGTTTCGCGCCAAATTGTCCGGCCTGCAAAATGGAGCCCGGAAGGAGGCCAGGGGCATGACGTCATGCGCCCCGCAGCCAATCCGCTCCGGTGGCCTGCCCGGGAGGCGGTGCTCGCGGGCGCAGAGCGGTCCAATCGCTGGCTGCGGGACCCCGGCGAGCCAATCGGGGCGCAGCGGCTGCGGCGTCCGAACGCGGCGTCTCGTTTTTCCCGCGAAACTCGGCGGCAGGGTGTGGACGTCCTTGTGTGCCTGGGTCCCGGTAGTGCGGGAACGGGGAGGTGAGACCGGCGGGTCTGGGGGTGGGTGGGGGTCGGGGAGTGTGCAGGCGTTCGCCCTTGAGGGCGCAGCCGGTGGGCAGGGTCTCTCTTCTGGGAGGGCCGGGGTCCCCCCGCCCCGCGTTGGGAGCGAGCCCCCGGCCTGCTCCAGCTGCTTGTCCCCGCGCCAGGCGCAGTCATGTCGGGCTTCGACGACCTCGGCATCTTCTACAGCGACAGCTTCGGGGGGGACACCGCGGCCGACGAGGGGCAGGCCCGCAAATCGCAGCTGCAGAGGCGCTTCAAGGAGTTCCTGCGCCAGTACCGAGTGGGCACCGACCGCACGGGCTTCACCTTCAAATACAGGTGCGGGCTGGGGCGGGCCCGGAGGGAAGGTGGGCATGCACACTCCCGGGTGAGGAGCAAACACACCCGGTGCGAACACGCGTCTGCACTCAGAGCCTTTTAGTGTCCTCGAGCTCGGATGGGGATGCGGGTCCAGAGAGGTGAAGGAGCCTGTCCTAGGTCTGAGGATTTGGGTCCCAGCCGAAGCGTCATCCCGGCCGCACCGGTGTGACATTTGGTTTTGTACATTTTATACCTGAAGTTAACTTTCGAGTGGCCACCTGTTGAGTGGGCCCCTAACAACCATCTAGGAGTTCTTGGGCCCTTTGGTTCTTTATCCAGGACTCGCTCTTCACGTCCTTCTTGTTTTCCTGTGTCCTGTCTCTATGATGTCTCCTAAACTCTCTGCGTGTGCCGAAAGTGAAGATGGTTTCGATTTATTTCTATTTCACTTACGCATTCGTTCCAGTCTTGCAACTTCTGTTGATCAGCACCTGCCGTGTGCCAGGCACTGTTCAGGTGCTGGGCTAACCACCGAACCTGCTCTTAGTCATGGTCTAACCTGTGGCATCATGCCGAATACTCATAGGCCCAGCCTCTATCTCTAGCACCTTAAAATGCAGAGAAAGGTGAATTTGTGGGTCCAGGCTTGGGCGTGGCCAATTACTAGCTGAGTGACTTCAAGTAACGGACTCTCTGTGTCATCAGTAAATGGACGGGAGCAGTTCTGCCTCCCATTTATTCATGTACCAGCTGGCATCGACCATGTGTGTGCCAGGCATTGTGTCTAGGCACTGAGATCCGGAGGTGAAGAGACTCCGTACTGCTCGCTCTTTAGAAGCTCATAGGTCAGTGAAGCTCCTAAGTCAGTGGGGGCAAGGCATAGAGGTGAAGAGATAAGTTACAAGGTGACAGTTGCCTCAAAGGAGGAACATAAAAGGGGAGTGAAGGAGGGCTTTCAGAGGAGCCCAGGTTGACCCTCGGCTGAGAGAAGAGTTTCAGGCGTGGAGGGCATTTCTGGTAGGAGCAGTTGCATGTCTGGGTGGAGAGTATGGCTGGCCTGTTCATAGCAAGGTGCTTTCTGGGCCAGGATGGCCGTTCCGTGTGGTCCTGGGACATAAGGTCGGAGGGGATGAGGTCTGAGATGAGTCTGAGGAGAGGGCTCTGTGTAGCACAGGTCAGTGGTCCCTAAGTGTGTTTTGGGACAATAGTCCCATGGGATGCTCTGTAAAAAGTCCATCTGGTGGTTGATAAGACAGACACACTGTTATGTGTGGTCTCCAAGTTTGAGGTTTGTGCTTTGTTGGTCTCTGAGAGAAACTAAAAGGCTCCAGGGGTCCTGCAGGGAAAGAACGGAGTCTCCCAAACTGACCTGTGCACACAGCCCTGTCGTTTAAGTGTTGAAATCTCCTTCAACCATCTTGTGGACTGTTTCCACAGAGCTGTTTTTGGAGGATGCCTCTGTGGGCAGCAGGGAGCCTCCATAGGGTTATGTCACAGAGCCTTCTGGACCTCGATGTGTGTTTGGGAGGAGGAGTGGGGGTAGTGGTGGTGATGGTGCGGGCAAATATGGGGTGTAGGTGCACCTCAGCCAGTGTTGATTTCCTCTTCTTTGCACCCTGCCCTGCCCCCACCCTGCTACCTTCCCACACCAGGGATGAGCTCAAGCGCCATTACAATCTGGGGGAGTACTGGGTCGAAGTGGAGATGGAAGACCTGGCCAGCTTCGACGAGGACCTGGCTGACTACTTGTACAAGCAGCCAGCCGAGCACTTGCAGCTGGTGAGTGGGACCCCATCCCTGAATCCCCCAGGGCTGGGCACCTGTTCTGGTCACCAACAGTTGTCGCCTTCCTCTTCTCCAGCTAGAGGAAGCTGCCAAGGAGGTGGCTGATGAGGTGACCCGGCCCCGGCCCACGGGCGAGGAGGTGCTCCAGGACATTCAGGTCATGCTCAAGTCGGATGCCAGCCCATCCAGCATTCGTAGTCTCAAGGTGGGTCCACTTAGAGGCTGGTCGGAGGGTGACAGTGGCTGCTGCATGGTGTGTAGGAGCTTCAGACACGGGCAGACCCGAGTGCCAGCTGTGTGACCCTGAGCAGCTCACTCAGCCTCTCTGAGCCCGTTTCTTCCCTGGTAAAATTAACTCACTGGACAAGTGAGCTCCTGTGGACAAGGCGTCGAGTCGGTCATGGAGAAACAATATTGAACTAAACAAGTTCTTGTTGGGGGACACCTGAGTAAACCAGCGAATGTCACCCGTGATGGTCGTAGATGATCGTAAGTGCAGTGGAGGAAATTGAGGTGAGGGGGTCGTCCTCTGCCTCTGGGAAAGACAGAGAAGGCTTCCTTGGTGGAGAACCACCTGAGCGGGCAGACAGCTGGGAGATCACCCTAGGGAGGTGGAGGATAGCTCTTGCAAAGCCTGAGGGACGAGGAGGGCTTGGTATGTTCAAGGCCGTGTTGAAGGACAGCCAGCGTGGCTAAAGAGTGATCGGGAAGCAGGAGGGGTCGACAGAGCCAGCTGTCATCCGGGGGGGGGGGAGTGTGTGTGTATTTATTTTGATTTTATTTATTTGACAGAGACAGGGAGAGAGGGAAAAGCGGGGAGAGGGAGAAGCGGGCTTCCCACCGAGCAGGGAGCCGGATGCAGGACTTGATCCCTGGGATCATGACCTGAGCCAAAGGCAGACGCTTAACGACTGAGCCACCCAGGCGCCCCCAGGTGTATGTTTTCTTAAAGGTTTTATTTATTTGAGAGCCAGTGCAAGTGAGCCTATGCGCGGGGGGAGGAGCAAGGGGGAGAGACAAGCACACTAGATTCCCCACTCATCACAGAGCTCAGAGTGGGGACCGATCATGACCTGATCCTGAGCTGAAAGCAAGAGTCAGTCGTCCAGTTGACTGAGCCACCCAGGGGTGCCCCTGGTGTTGATTTGTTTTAATCGACAAATACTAAAGACTGCTACGCCCCAGGTGCTGGGCTAGACCCTGACTGTAAACAGATGGGTCTTGCTTCTCACAGAGCTTTTGAGGGGAGAGCCAGGTAAGGGACATCATGATGGCTTCAGGAGCCATGTACAGTCATGAAGAAAAGCGGAACGAGCTAAACATGACAATGGCCAAGGGAGATAGATGGTGGTCAGAGGAGGCCTCCGATGAAGTGATGTTGTAGTGAGTCTGAGTGATGCGTCGTCAGCTGCATGACAGCCCAAGGGAAGAGCATTCCAGGCTCAGGGAGAAGCAGGTGCAAAGGCAATGAGGTAGGGACAGTGGCATGCTTCATGGAATAAGAAGAAGCCAGTGTGACCGGACCCCAGTGAGCGTGAGGGTTGGGGGAAGGGGGAAGAGGCTTGAGGGCCAGGGCCTCTCCAGCCATGGAAAGGAGCTTGGATTCTGTAGGAGGCACAGTAGGAAAGCAGCAGATGTTCAAGTAGAATGGGCCGATTCCATTTGCAAGCAGTCCTTCTGGCTGCCACGTGGAGAATTGATAAAGTAGCAGGAGAGCAGTGAGCGGGAAGTGATGCTGGTCAGGACGTTAGTGGTTGTCATGGGGCTCTTGTTAGAATCTAGGGAAGTGATGCACATGCCTTTGCTCGGCACGCTCCACAATGGGGCCCTAGTGTCACCCATTTAGCTAATGGCATCTCCTCGTCATGTGTTGCACGCAGAGGGCATGCTCTGGTCTTTGCTTGTGTCCCTACATCCTGCAGCTCTTTTGGGGCCCCTGTCAGGCCGCCTTTGTTTTGCACGATGGCAGGTGGTTCCAGAAGCAGGGTGGTGGGCTCTGGAGCTTGTGAGTTTTATCTGTCTTTTTCCAGCACCAGGGAGGGGCTCCGTGACGATGTTTGGAATCGAGTTCAGTGTCACGCATTTGCCTCTTTGTGGAAGTGGCATTGGACCTGCTTTGGGGGGCCAGCTGTTTGGTCAGGGAGCCAAGCCTCAGCTCCCCCCAGGGACACGCTTCCTACTCTCAGACTTGTTGGAGGACCCAGTGAACGGCCTGTTTCAGCTGATGGGTTTCCTGTGATCTGGGAGGATCCCCCTCTAGAAGGGTCACTTGTTGGGATGGCTTGGAGGGGCCGAGGCAACCCCTGTCCTTTCCAGCTCGGGATTCTGCAGCGCCAGGATACCTGCAGCTTTGTGGCTTGTGTTCTAAAAAACCATGCTCTGCGGCGGCTCCAACAGTTCTGTGTCCCTGGGTCATGGCAGGCCCCTCTGCCCTTACGTGTCGCAGAGGGGCCAGCCTCCTTCCTTCTCCGCCCGCCATGTCCCAGGCTGCACGAACCCGTAGGCTGCCCGTCCCAGAGAAGCCACTGGGAACGGGAAGAAAGTGATGAAAGGAACTTTTCTTGTTTTTTGTTTTGTCTTAATGGAAAATTACACACGGAAATAGAATAGTGGAACGAATCTCACATACCTTCACCTGGGTTTAATGGTTAACATTTTGCTTTATTTGCTATTTCTTTTTTTTTTTTTTCGGTAAAGTACTGTTTTTCAATTTTTTAAGAGAGCGAGTATGCGCACCCACGAACGAGGGAAGGGGCGGAGGGAGAGGGAGAAAGCAGACTCTCCCCGTTGAGTGCAGAGCCTGGTGGGGGGCTCGATCCCAGGACTCCGAGATCATGACCAGAGCCAAAGTCAGACACTTAACCGACTGAGCCTCCCAGGCGAACTTGTTAAATTTTAGGTAAATTACAGAAGTGCCACTGTGTCCCTAAATACTTCAGCATGCACTAGAAAAAGATTTTCTAGAAGTGTGAGGTTTTGTTTTTTTTTTTTTTTTAAATTAAGTAGGCTCCACGCACACTGTGGGGCTTGAACTTAAGACCCTGAGATCAAGAGTCACATGCTCTTCCGACTGAGCCAGCCAGGCGCCCCAGAAAAAGAGTTTTTTATCGTAATCTCCATTGTCCCTGTCTCCCTTTAACCAACCATGCTCTTGATGGCTCTTTTGCAGTCGGACATGATGTCGCACCTGGTGAAGATCCCTGGCATCATCATCTCGGCGTCCGGGGTCCGCGCCAAGGCCACCCGCATCTCCATCCAGTGCCGGAGCTGCCGCAACACGCTCAGCAACATCGCCATGCGCCCGGGCCTGGAGGGCTACGCCCTGCCTAGGAAGTGCAACACGTGAGTGGGCCTTGCGGGGCCCAGCGGCTAGGGTGGGGGGGGGTGACATCTGGGGGGAGATGGGGGAAGGGGGAGGACCGGCCTGCAGCAGGGCATGTGTCCTGTGGGAGTGGCACAGGCTGGTGCGCTGGGGCTCAGGGCTGGTATCCTCCATTGGCGAGTTCTGTCCCCACCAGGACGCCCAGACGGTCTTTGTGGGGAACCCAGGGTTGGGAGGGAAAAGCAGTCCAGTGGAATGAGTCTGTCTGGAGGCTTGCTGGGGCGGCTGGCCCAGGAACATGGCACGCTTGCACATTTACACATTGCCATGGACCACGTTTGCTCTGCAGAGGCGGAGAGTATATGGCCTCTTGGCCCCTAAGACCAAAGGTTTGCTCTCTGGCCCCTTACAGGAAATGATCTCCACCCTTGATCTGAAGGGCCTGCCCTCTCTCTCACATTGCTCCTTGGCCTCTGCTGGTCCCCCTCAGCTTCCTGACCTAAACGTTGCAGTGCTCTGGGGCTTAGCTACGCTGCTTTCTTTCTGCACTCGCTCCCTGGGTGATCTCGGGCTTTAAAGATGGTCCCACGTGCAGAGGACACTCACACATGTGTCTCCCCTGAACTCCAGGGTTGGATCCAGCTGCCGGCCGGCAGCCGGATGTCCCCATGTAGGTGTCCAGTGGACGTTGCAGATTTGAACCCACCCCAGACAGACCTGACCTCCATCCCACCCCCAGATCTCCCCTTCCACAGAACCTCCCCTGCACCCCAGTTGGAGGCACCATCTTTTCAGGTGCTCAGGCCCAAATCCTTGGTCTCAGAGTGTTTCTTCCTACTTGGATCCAGACAACTGAGAAGTCCTTTTGGCTCTGCTCCTCAGATTGCACGTAGAGAATCAGGCTCTTTCTCACCACCTGGGCACGTCTGCCTTGCTCCATGCTGCTGTGCTCCCTCACTTGGAGTGGTCGTCCTCAGTCTCGTCTCCACCCCGCAGCTGGTGGAGAGGACTCTTTGTCCTGCAGGTGACCCAGTCGTTTCCATGTCATCCAAAGCCAGGCGCTGTCCTGGCAGGCACGGCCCTCCGTGGTCCTCCTCCCTCTGTCTAGGCCCAGCCTCAGTGCCTCGCTCCTGTTCCTGGGATCACTGAGCACACTTCTGGCACAGGGCCTTTGAACGTGCTATTTCCTCTGCCCTCTGCCCTCCGCAGTCCTTGGTCTCCCTTCAGTCAGCTTTCTCTAACGTCATCTCCCAGAGGTTCCTCCATGTTACACTCGGTGCACGCGTACCCGGTCACTCTTCCCCACCCACCCGACAGCATGGGGCACTGCTGTCGTTCGGTCACTCAGCCGTTTGTCGGCTGGCTTTTTTCAGTCTCCCCGGCCCCTGACGAGAACGTGAGCCCCGTAAGAGCAGGGACTTCTGTTTCTGCTGGGTCCCTGGCCTGTAGAACATGGTCTGGCACGGACTGAGTGCTTTGCAGTAACACCGTTATGGTAGTTGAACCGTGACTCCATTGCTTGGAGGTAAAGAGAGGCCTAGACCCTGAGAATGGTCTGTAGGTGCCCAGACCCTCACCACGAGATCCTGGGATTTGAGTGGGGGTTTCGTGAGGTCATTGGTGAGTTGGCCCCTCTCCCTGTGGGGCTACTGAGACCCTCATGGGGGTTGAGAGCGTGACTTGTCTGTGTCCCATAAATTAATGGAGGAGCCAGGCCTGCAGCAGACCTCCGCACTCCTGGTCTGGTTCGTGGTCCCCCGCAGAGCTGCCCTCTTCTTAAGGGTCTTGTCAGGCTTATCCCAGAGACCCTCGACTTGCTGGCCGGGTCTTGTTGCCGACTCCTGGGATGGACTCCCTGGGCTTCGGGTTCTCAGGGGAGCTCTGGTGACCCTTTCTCCTCCCCACCCCCGTACAGGGACCAAGCCGGGCGCCCCAAGTGCCCACTGGACCCATATTTTATCATGCCTGACAAGTGCAAGTGTGTGGACTTCCAGACCCTCAAGCTGCAGGAGCTGCCTGACGCAGTGCCTCATGGCGAGATGCCCAGACACATGCAGCTCTATTGTGACAGGTGAAGCAGGCAAGGGCTGGGGCTGGGGGTGGGCGTCCGCGGGGGCGGGTGGCGCTGGCCGAGGCCCGGTGAGCACGGTGGGAGCAGAGGATGGCTCGGTCGGGAGCACTTGTTCACTGGAACGCCGGTGCTTCCCATATGTTTCCGCTCGCTCTGTCTTCCCGAAATCGGCAAGGCACTTAGCCCCCGCTCGGCAGTTCCAGAGCCCCCCGGAACTCTGAGAGGCTGATGGCTTCGTGAGCTTGGAGCCCGGGCCCTGTCGTGAGAGTTCCTGCAGCTGCAGCTTGGAGAGCTTCTGCTTGCCTGATGCCCTGACCTGCCCGTGCCCGGGGCTTTCTGATAACGTCGTTCCTTGGATTTTGCTGAACGGTTGGGAAGGAGGAGAGGTGCTCGGCTGGGGTCTGGTCGTCCCATGGCCACCTGGGAGGAAGGCTTGGAGATGTGACCGGGGTGCCGCAGCTGGATGTGCTTGCAGGTGTTCCGTGCTGCGTGTTTTCCTGAGGAGTGGGTCCAGAGCTTCTGTTAGCTTTGTCAGTAACGGTGGAAGTGTGGAGGGGCCCGACGGTAGCGAGTTACGTGAGCTGGCGAAGGCTCAAGTTTCCTCAGCGGTAACACGGACGTGATGGCCGTCCTTAATCTCTAGCTAGGCTGCCGGGAGATGGTAATTGGAAAATGCACCTGTCTCGTACCGGTCCGTAGTACAAATTAAGTACTTGGTGTTTGTTAGGTGGTTCTCTATGCAGTCTAATCCAGACGTAAGAGGTGGTGTATGGGAAGGGGCTCCTGGGAGGAGGCTCAGTCATTTAACTGCCTGACTCCTGATTTCGGCTCAGGTCATGATCTCAGGGTCGTGAGATCGAGCCCTGTGTCGGGCTCCGCACCAGGCATGGAGCCTGCTGAAGATACTCTCTTCCTGTCTCCAAAATAAAGAAGAAAAACAAAGTGGTGCATGGGAAGGGGCGCCCTAGGATCCTCTCAGGGCTGAAACCGTGACAGTGACGCTCCTTTGTGGGATGTGACTCTGGCATGTAAAGCACGTTTGGGTCTGTTTCCTTACTTGATCCCACAGTATGAGCAGGTCCGGTCACTCTATCGCTGCCCCCCTCCCCTTCCCTCAAGCTCAGAGAGGTGCGGTGACGACTTTTTTTTTTTTAAACATGGTTTGCATCCTTTTTATTTTTTTTATTTTTTAAAGATTTTATTTATTTGACAGAGAGAGACACAGAGAGGGAACATAAGCAGGGGGAGTGGGAGAGGGAGAAGCAGGCTCTCCCGCGGAGCAGGGAGCCCCCAAGGCAGGGCTCGATCCCAGGACCCTGGGACCACGACCCGAGCCGAAGGCAGACGCTTAATGACTGAGCCACTCAGGTGCCCCGGTGCGGTGACTTCTTTGAGGTCACGCAGCTTCTAAGTGGCAGAGTGCAGATGCGTGCCCCAGTGTGCCCTCCGCGCCACTCTGGTTCTCACTGGAGCGACTTGGAGACTCCTTGTTGCAGGGTCTTAGTTTTGAAAAGAGGACATGGACGTCCAGAGGCAGGATGTACCTGAGCTCGTGGAGCCCCGAAGAGGCAGAAATGGTGGTGGTGGTGGGGGGGCCCTTGCAGAGAGGCCAGGGGGCCTGAGGAGGAAGGCTTCCCCCGAGTTGGCCAAGGGGAGCCCCGTGGTGAGTCTGGCAGCAGATACGATGGGGATGGGGCTTCTGAAGGCTGGGGTGGGCTAGCACCAAGCCGAGAGGGGGGCCTGGGGCCCCAGCCGGCGAAACAAAAGAGCTCTTGAGGGCAGGGAACGGTCAGGCCACCACCATGAGCAAGGGTGCTGAGCACCATCCCGTAGGCAGCTGAGCCACGCATGCTGGGAGGGGGCCCCTGAGGGATGGAGAGATCTGGAGTACAAATGCTAAGGTGGACTGTGAGTGTGACAGCGTGGGTGAGAGGGTCAGGGATTCGCTGTCCCCCCCCCCAGGCTCTCACTTTGTTTCTCCCTCCTCCCTGTCTCCTCAGGTATCTGTGTGACAGGGTTGTCCCTGGGAACAGGGTCACCGTCATGGGCATCTACTCCATCAAGAAGTTTGGCCTGACTTCCAGCAGGGGCCGTGATAGGGTGGGTGTGGGCATCCGGAGCTCCTACATCCGTGTCCTGGGCATCCAGGTGGACACAGATGGCTCTGGTGAGTTGGCTTTGGGGTCCAGCTGTGCTATACCCTGGGCCGAGCCCTTGCTGTCTCTCTCCGGGATTATGGTCAGGCCCCCTGGCCTCCCTGTCCCCACCCTTCCTGGTGGTTCCCAAGGGCCTCGACGGTCTGGCCCTCCAGCTCCTCCCACCCCCTTTCCCCTCACGCCCTGGATGGCAAGCACAGGCCCACTCCTGCCAGGGAGAGCTGGGCTCTGTCTCCCCAGGCTTATGCCGGCTGGGCTCTGAGGCCCCGCCTTGCAGGGAGCCCTGACCCGGCTGGCCGGGGTCTGCCCCGCACAGCACTCACGTGCCCTCCCTCCCTGGCCCGCCCAGGCCGCACCTTTGCCGGGGCCGTGACCCCTCAGGAAGAGGAGGAGTTCCGGCGCCTGGCCGCCCTCCCCAATGTCTACGAGGTCATCTCCAAAAGCATCGCTCCATCCATCTTCGGGGGCACAGACATGAAGAAGGCCATCGCCTGCCTGCTGTTTGGGGGTTCCCGAAAGAGGTGGGGGTCCAGTCCCGCCAGATCTGTGGATCTGGGGGTGGGGGGGTGACTTGGCCCATAGGAGGATGGCTGCCAGTGGTCAGGACTTGAATGTTCTTCTCATTTTCCCGGGACCCTCAGCCTTGCCTGCTACTTCCAGGCCCTTTTCCCTACTCCGAGGCTTGCTGTCAGCCGGCTGGTGGCTAATCCATGCTCTCCTACCCGGAGGGATCCCCTCACCTGAACTAGGGGTGGACTGGAGGAGGGGGGCCAGCAGCTGCAGTGGGCAGAGCTCTGGGCTTGGAGACTGGAGACCAGAGATGAAATCTCTGCCGCTTTTTCCTGTGTGACCTTGGGCAAGAGACACCACTTCTCTGGACCCAAGTTTCCATGGGAACAGGGCAGGTGAGAACCTAGCTCTCGCAGGACAGCCCATGTCGTCTTGGAAACTAGAAAGTAGTAGAGCTAGGGAAGATAACGTTACCAGTAGCTACCACATACTGGGCCTCACTGTGCACCCGGCCTTCTTGCAAGCGCTTTCGTGTGTCTGACACCTAGCCAGCCCTCACAGTCACTGTCAGAGGAAGCTCTGACCAAGCCCACTTTGGGGGTGAGGAAGTTGGGGCATGGAGAGTGAAGGGGACTTGCTGAGAGGCACATCAGTGGGGCCAGGATCCTGTCCATCTGGTGCTGGTCACACTGTGCTGTGCACGGGCCGCTGGGGGCCCCCCCTTTCCTTTTCAGCCACGAGGGCTATCTGATCAGACCTTTAACGTGTGTGACCCGGCCCTGAGCGCCATGTCCTTGGCCGTCCCTGACCTGGAGGCAAGTTCTCTCCTCCATCGTTACCATGGGTGCGGCTCCGGACACAGCTGTGAACGAGGGTCCCAAGCCCGGAGCCCTCGCCTGCCTGCTGCACCGAGGCTCGTGGTGCGGGTTGTGGGGCCCATTGCCAGCCCTCCCCGTGACCAGCCCGAGTCCCAGCCTGGCCCACTTGCCTGTCCTCCAGGCTCCCCGACGGACTCACCCGCCGAGGAGACATCAACCTGCTGATGCTGGGGGACCCGGGCACGGCCAAGTCCCAGCTGCTGAAGTTTGTGGAGAAGTGCTCTCCCATAGGGGTGAGTGCCTGGGACATGCCACTCCGCTCAGCTGCCCCCTTAGGAGGGCAGGCTGCAGCCCAGGCCACCTGGTCCCTGGGCTTTCCGTGGTGGGCCGGCTCACCAGAGTCTCTTCCTCGTTCCTCTTGGCTGCGGGTCAGGATGGCACAGAGAGGAGGAAGGGGACCAACAGGTGTGGGGTGGTTTGGGGCGGTGGGTGGCCTGAGAGGCAGCATGGGCTTTGGGTCTCAGCCTGGCCAGTAGCTAGCTGGCTGCCGGCCTTGAGCAGGTTGCCTTATCTCCCTGAGACTCCCGTTTATCCACCTGCTAAATCATGACATTGGTCAGCACCCGAAGATCAAGGGCCAGGCACTGCTTGCAGCGCATTGCGTAGATTTGCTGGCCTAACGTTCCACTCACTATGCGGTGGGTGCTGTGATCCCTTTAAATAAAGGAGGAAACTGGGGTACAGAATAGCTCACTCTTGCCCAAGGTCCCATAGCGAGTAAGTGCAAGCACAGGGATTTGACCCCGAGTGTGTGGTAGGTGGGGTTCTCTGTGCAGTGATCAGTGGGCCTGGGGGCTCAGAGTGGGGCGAAGATGACCCAGCAGGACAGGGCTGTGTGGGGGGAGCTGTGGTCTGGGCGATCAGAAGTGCCAGGCGTTCATGCCATAGCCGCGTGATAGAGACCCGCAGGTGCTACTCTATGGGCCATGGGGGTGGTGTCCAGTTTTCTGGCAGCCCTGGTTAAAAAAACTAAAAGCAGTTGAAACTAATTTTAATATTTTATCTAGAGTGTTACTGTTTTAGCCTATAGGTTGATATAAACACCACGGCACGCTTTACATTCTCTTTCTTTAAGCACTGTTGAAAGCGTGTGTATTTTACACTCTAAGCCCACCTCACACTGGACTTGCCAGGGTGCCAGCTTGTGGCACGCGCGTCTGTACAGAGACGACAAGGGGCTGGGGAGGGGGACGCTTCTCCTTAGGAGTCAGGAGTCCCCATCCCGGCCCTCAGGCCTCCTGGAAGTGTGGCATTCCTCTCCTCTGGGCCGCAGTTTGCTCATCTGAGAGCGGGCCCCTGAGCGCTGCTTCGTAGGGCTGTGGTGGGGCTCCGCTGACCGTGCACGTGGACGCCCCCTGGGGGAGAACCAGGCCAGACTGGTGCCTAGGGAGGCCTTCCCACCCGCAGGGAGGAGCACAGGTTCTATTCTGGGCTCGGCAGCCAGCTTTGATGCGTGACCTTGGGCAAGCCACATCAGTCTGGGCCCTTGACTCACTGGAGCTGGGTGATGTCCTGATGCCCCCTCCCCCCCGCCCCGTCCCCCAGGTGTACACCTCTGGGAAAGGCAGCAGTGCGGCCGGCCTGACAGCCTCAGTGATGAGGGACCCTTCGTCCCGGAACTTCATCATGGAAGGCGGAGCCATGGTCCTGGCCGATGGGGGGGTCGTCTGTATTGACGAGTTTGACAAGGTGGGTGTGACGGTGAGGTGGTGGCCGAAAGGTGGGTGGCACCTTGTCATGGGGCCGGAGGTGTAGCCTCCTGGGCTGCGACAGCAGAAACTGCCTCTGACTTGGAGACTGGTGTTTGGTCCTGGGCCTGTCATTAGCCTGAAGTAGTTGAACCTCTCTGGGCCTCAGTTTCCCTATCTGGAGAGAGGGGAGAGGAGAGCCAAGCCCACCTGGCTCGTTATCACCAGGGCAAGAGGCCACCTGATTCCTGCCGTGGGCCAGGCATAGAGTTGGGACTTGGGACTGGTCGCTGCTGTAGTTCTTCGGCTGCCCCGCTCTCCCACCCCCTCGCCCGGGCCTCACAGATGTTTCTGCCCCACACAGATGCGGGAAGACGACCGAGTGGCGATCCATGAGGCCATGGAGCAGCAGACCATCTCTATAGCCAAGGTGCGCGGCTGCCGTCTGGCCTGGCCCGGCCACGTGGAGGGTGCTGGCCCGGGGCCGCGATCGGGCCCGGTCTCTGCTGGCTGCAGCAGCCGGCCCGGGCGAGCGTATGCATGGGAGGGACTCGTGTATGCACGGGAGACACGCGTGCCTGGGTTCTCATCTCTCTTGTTTGCTCCGCTCTCTCTCCTCTCAGGCTGGGATCACCACCACTCTCAACTCCCGCTGCTCCGTCCTGGCTGCCGCCAACTCGGTGTTCGGTCGCTGGGATGAGACGAAGGGGGAGGACAACATCGACTTTATGCCCACCATCTTGTCCCGCTTTGACATGATCTTCATCGTCAAGGACGAGCACAATGAGGAGAGGGATGTGGTGCGTCTGGAGCTGGCTGGGGCCGCGGGAGCCAGGCCCACAGTTCTGGGGGAGGGTAAACAAGGGGCTTGGCGCAAAGTCCTGCCCATCAGACTTGCCTGTAAGCGGGCAGCCCGGGGCGGGGCAGGGCTGCGGCCTGCAGGGAACGCTGGACTAGGGGTCCAGAGTCCTGCCTCCTGCCGGGGCTGTGCTGCGCAGTTGGGTAAATCATTCTCTCCCTGGGGCTCAGCGCCTTGTATACGAAACAGGGGAGTTGACCTTTGCAAGTGATAGAACCCCAGCTCCGGTCAGAACGTCCCTGAAGGAACGGAATGGCTTATGTGGTGGGCAAGCCTAGAGGTGTGAGGCCCACCTGGATCCAGGGCTCGATGTGCCCAGAGCTCTCTGTTTCTGCCTCTCTGCTCTGCCTCCCTTGCTGGAGACCTGTTCTCAGGCAGCTGCTCTCCTTAGGGCGGCAGATAAGGCCCTGGCAGCTGTGGGATTTTGTCTGATCAGCTCATAGCTCACAAGGAAAGAGGGGCGTCCTCCTTTCCATGAGTTCTCAGCTTCCCTCCCTGTCTGCACAACTTCTGCGTTGGGACCTATGCTCAGGAGGGCCTGCGGGCTGACCCAGTGTCTCCTCTGCCCCCCCAGATGCTGGCCAAACACGTCATCACTCTGCACGTGAGTGCACTGACCCAGACCCAGGCCGTGGAGGGTGAGGTTGACCTGGCCAAGCTGAAGAAGTTCATTGCCTACTGCCGAGCGTGAGTCCTGGACACGGGCCCTGCGGGAGTGCGGTGGCCCAGCTCTCCTGGGGGAGAGAACCCTGAAGCCTGGGCCTGCCTCTCACACAGGGTGCTTGAGATGGGGCCCTTCTTACGGTTTTGGCTCTGCTCCTTTCTGACCTCGCGTAGGTTGCTCTGTGGCTCTTGGACTGTTTCCCCATTGCTAAAACAAGGGTGTCGGCAATAGACGGTCTTACAGACCCCCGGGACTCTCCCGTGCAGGGAGGCACTGCAGTGTGGACAGTGTGACTGTGGGCTCTGGGTAACGTCCGCCCCCACCGTGTGACCTGGGGCAAGTTGGGTGACCTCTGAGCCTCTGGTGTGGCCTGGGGTCTTCCCGAGTACTGCACAGATGATTGAGAGCTTGGCAGAGCCCCGCACCGAGGAAACATTCATCTTATTTCGCTCGCAGATTGCCAGTAACAGTAACCATGCGTATAGTCACCATTCCGTGCCAGGCATTCCTCTTGAGTGTTTCACGTGTAACTGAGCTTTCGCCCGGTCCCAAAGCCTTTGAGGGTGCTGTAGTGAGCCATTCTACAGGTGGGGCTGAGGCAGAGAAGTGGAGGGAAAGAAAGGTTAAGTGACTCGTCCAAGGTCCTAAGCGGGAGGGAGCAGAGCCAGGATTTGAACCCAGGGACCCGGCCCCAGAGGCCACGCTGTTGCCCCAGCGCCGAGAGCCCGCACGCGCCCTCAGCTGTCTCTTGGAGGTAGAAACTGAGGGCAGGGAATCTTTGAGGACCCCTCCAGTGGGAAGTTAGGCGCTGTATCCAGGTGGGTCCTGAACTCACTCCCTCTGGGGTCCCGAGCAGTGCACTGCCCAGCAGTCCTGGGTCCTTGTCCCAGTTCTGAATCCTTAGGGCCCCGTCTTCAGGGGCTTGGCCCCAGCTGTCTCGCCCCACCTTGATGCCACGTCCTGGGCGGCCTTGGGGAGTTGACTCCCTCCTTCCGGCCTCTGTCTTCTCATCCTCAGAATGAGGGTGGGATTAGGTGATCTCGGCATTCCCCTGAATGAGTGACTGTCACTTGGCTGGGGGACACGGTGGGTGCCCCCAGATTCCTTCCTGGCCTTGTATGACAGCTGCCCCCCACCGTCCTGCAGGAAGTGTGGCCCCCGGCTGTCGGCAGAGGCCGCAGAGAAACTGAAGAACCGGTATATCATCATGCGGAGCGGAGCCCGTCAGCATGAGCGGGACATCGACCGCCGGTCCAACATCCCCATCACCGTGCGGTGAGCAGGCGCAGGAGTGCCAGACCCCGGCGGGCTGGATGGGCCTCGGTTTACAAAGCAGGGTGTGCCTAGCAAGCCCTGGGCCAGGGTCCCTTGCTGACCACAGTCTAGGCCCGTAGTATGGGCTGTTGGTCAGGGCGGCTTTTGGGAGTATAGACAGTGGTCTCTCTGATTATACGTACTTCTTGGCTTGTTTTAAGGTTGAGAAAACCTGGAACCCTGTTTTGTGACTTTTGTTGTCTGGCTTCCCTCATTGCAGGGAAGCCTGAGGGTAACTCGTGGGAGTTACGAGACCTGGCTCCTAGACTCTGGCGTATTGTGTGACTGTAGGAAAGTTGCTTTCCTTCTCTGGACCTGTCTTCATAGTTCTTAATTTCTCTTCTTGTGAGTTTATACAGTAGAGTATAATGATTAGGAGCTTGGACCTATCTGGGCTGCATCCTGCTGCCAGCACGGATGAGTTAGAAGTGAATTTGGCTGCGTGTAATGGAAAACCCAAATAAAGTAGAGTAAGCAAATTGGAAGTTGATTTCTCTCTCATGTAAAAATGTTTGAGGGTGGGTGGTCCAGGACTGGTGTGATGGCTCCTCAGAGTCATTGGCAACTCGGGCTCGTCCTCATAGTCCAAGATGGCTGCTGGGACGTCAGCCTTCTCCTCTGTAGTCCAGGTGACAGGAGAGGAAGGAGAAGGAGGGCCTATCTTTTCAGGACATTTCCTGAAATCCCCACAAAACGTTTGAACCTAGAACTTCTCGGTCACACCTTAGTCACATGGACGCAGCTAGATGTAGGAGAGGCCAGGAAATGTGTTTAGCTGGGTGCCACGTGTTGGAGTCAAAATCGGTTCCATTACTGAGGAGGAAAGGGAGACGGGTCATGGGGACCGCAGGCAGTCTCCCCATGGCCTTCCTACGTTGGGCAGGCACCTCCCTGACAGTTGCGTGGGGCGGGGGCGGGGAGTGAGCTGAGGCCACCCCGTCACTCCCGTGCAGGCAGCTGGAGGCCATCGTGCGCATCGCCGAGGCCCTCAGCAAGATGAAGCTGCAGCCCTTCGCCACGGAGGCCGACGTGGAGGAGGCTCTGCGGCTCTTCCAGGTGTCTACGCTGGACGCTGCCTTGTCCGGCACTCTGTCAGGTGAGCACACGCGGGGGCAGGGGCCGAGGGTCCCGTGGGGCCGGGCGCCATCCCGGAGGCCTAGAGCGTTGGTTGATCCTGTGTGGTTGCCCACTGTCTCTGAGCTTCCTCTTGGTGGTCAGCCGCCCTTCCCCGTTCTGCCCCCAGCCATTTTCCTGCCAGATGAGAAGCAGCAGCTTCTCTTCCAGACCCTTGAACACAACCGTCTGGACCCTGTTAATCGTTAAGGATTGTAATTTTGTCATTGTCTGAGAATGCTAGCTCTCTGCTTGTGAGCTCATAACGATTTTGAGCGCTTCCAAAGCTCTTTCCCTCATTCGACTTCCAGCTGCCTTCCAGAAGCCAGCTGGGCACTTAGAAATAAGACGGACACTCAGAGGCTTTCTCGTGGTGCCAGGATGGCCGTTTGCTTAGCTAGAATGCAGATCTCTCAACCCGTAGGCCAGTGTCGGTCAAACTGCTGTCAGTCCCACTGCCTGCTTCAGGCTCAGCCTTCCAACAGATTTTTCTGGAGCACTGACTGTGTGCCAGGCTCTCCTGGGATAGATCCATTCCTTCACCCAGTGGGGTGTGGTATTTGCCAGACGCCGTTCCAGGTGTTGGGGTTTAAGAGGGAATAGATCTCAAGTCCCTGCCTTGTGGGTCTCTCATTCTAAGGTGGGGGGAGAGAGAGCAAAGGCAGATTGATCAGGTTCAGGCAGTCAAAAGTCCGGGGGGGGGTGGTTCTGGTAGGCCAGGTGTGTTGGAGGAGGATTGGATGCCTCCCCATCAGGGGGTTGGTCAGGACGGCCTCACTGTGCAGGTGACATAGAGGCAGTGGTGTGAAATGAGGACGTAAGGCTCTGTGTGTGTGTGTTGCGGGGGGCGATGTAGAGAACCCTCTAGGTAGAGGGAAGGCTCGGTGCCATGCCTCCAGGGAGGGGGCAGTCTTGGCAGGTTCCAGGGCCGGTGTGGCTGGTACCTTGGGTGGTGAGAGGGATCACTCCCACCCTCCCCTTGGCGAAGACTGTTTCTGCCCAGGAGGAGATTTCTGTCCTTTGAGACATTTGCTAACGGAGAGCTCTCTGGGATGCTGATGCATGGAGGTCAGGTGTGATTTGGGACAGTGGAATTTGAGTTGGGCCTTGTAGGCTGTGTAGGAGGTTGCCTTGCAGACCCCTTTCAACCTGAAGCCTTGAAGTCCATCCCAGTGGCTTCGCTGACTATGCCCCACCCTCTCCTTAGCTGAAACCCCAAGGCATCTGTCTGTAGGCCTTGGTCAGCAGGAGAGACTCACCCTGCATCAGTAGTTGGGAGTCAGGAGCCTCCTGCTGGCCCGGGCTCCCTGGGGTGCCTTGCCTCCCTCGTGTGTCACGGGGGGCTTCAGTTGTCTGCGATCTGTTTCTCCTGGAACTTTGTCCCTGCTGCCTGACCGGCCGGAGACCTATGTTACCAGTGTTCCCACAAGTCAGCTCCTGTCCCTCCTCAGAGCCCTCTACTGGCTGCTCCCCCAGAATCAAAGCAAAACCCGTGCCATGGCCTCGGGGTCCCCAGGACCTGACCCTTGGTCTGGCCACGTCCCCATCCCCTGGACTGGGTTTTTAACAAAGTCAGGTTTCTCCCTCCCCGCACGCGCCATTCCTTCTGCCTAGAGCGTCCTTCCGCACAGGTGTGCCTCATCCCCTGGCTTCAGGGCTCTGCTGAGCCATGTGCTCAGGCCTGCGCTGTCCCCCACATGTTGTTCCCCCTTTTTTTTTTTTCAAGTTTTTCTTCTGAGTCCTCTTTCTTGGCTCAGGGGCCTTGTCTCTCCAGGTCTCTGCCCCACCACAGGCAGACTGAGATCCGTGGCACCCCGGTCCCACCCAGCTGTCTCTCTCTGCCCACAGGGGTGGAGGGCTTTACCAGCCAGGAGGACCAGGAGCTGCTGAGCCGCATCGAGAAGCAGCTTAAGCGCCGCTTTGCCATCGGCTCCCAGGTGTCCGAGCACAGCATCATCCAGGACTTCACCAAGCAGGTAGGCCTTCCCTGGGGCCTGGAAGCGGGGCCGGGGCGGGGGGGGGTCTCCTGCTCACTCCCGTAGCCTGCTTCCCACCTACCCAGCAGCCGTGTCCTGTGGCTCAACAGACGAGTCTGGGATGGGGACAGGGCAGCTGTTTCTTGTCCTGGACCTGTTCCTGTCATTCATGCCCTAGGGACTGCTTCGATCTGGGGAGGGGGCAGTTATCTGTCCCATTAGGGGAGAGGACGGGGCTGGCATTCTGGTAGAACCACAGACAGCCTCCCCCAGCCCTTCCCATCGATCCCTTCCCCCACTGCCTGGCTTTTATGGGGCTGGGGGCAGGGGCAGAGCCAGGAGGGTGAGCCGCCCAGCTCATGGAGGACAGTGCTCTTGACCCCAGAGAGAGAGGAGTGGGGCTTTCTAGATGCTGTGGAGAACTTGTGGCCTTTAAAACCACAGGAGCAGTCCACCAGTTTCTGGTTTCAGCTCTTCTTCATGTACATCTTGCCTCAATCTTAAGAGCATTTTCGGGCAGCAGGTGGGACCACGCCCATTCTGTGGGCGAGCGGACTGAGGCTTAGAGAAGTTTAGGGTGTCAGCAGCTTGGGTTCTGGAGTCAGGTGGACTCCGTTGAAGTCCCAGCTCTGCCACTTAATTGCTGTGTGACTTTGAGCAAGTGACTTCGCCTTTCTGGGCCTCAGCTCCTCCCCTGTAACACCGGAGTAATCACCGGACTAGCTGCACAGGGAGGGAGGGAGTTGATGTACAGAAGAGTGCCTGGCATGTTGAAGGTGCTAAGGATGTGGGAGCTCTTAGGAGGGACGGAGACGGGTGTGAAGGCCTTTTCTAAACCAGAATAGAATGTTCTCTGGGAGCAGGGAGGATAGGAGAGCCCAGACGGTGAGCCAGCAGGGTATTCTGGGGCCCCCTCGGGAGGCACGCTCCCGCATCTGGCCTTGTGTCCGTAGAAATACCCGGAGCACGCCATCCACAAGGTCTTGCAGCTCATGCTACGACGGGGCGAGATCCAGCATCGCATGCAGCGCAAGGTCCTCTACCGCCTCAAGTGAGCCCCCGCGGCCCCATGGACTTGCCCAGGCCTCCTGCGCGTCGCCCCTCCCGCCCCCTGGAGCCTCCCCCCGGCCCTGGGGACGTCGCTGTCCTCTGCCTCGCCACTGGCATCTTGAAATGCCCCCTGTGCTCCCCCCTCTTCCCCCCCAGTGCAGGGGGCCCCAGCTGCCCCCAAGGAAGGAACTTTCTGCCTGCCTTGCTGCCTCTGGGCATCTGCTTATGGTGCAGGGCCAGGAGATGTGCTTTGGAAGATTGTGGAACTAATAAAGCCGTGATGTGTGTGCACGCTGTGGGCTCTGCGCTGGGGGGCCTGTGGCTGCCCCCCGTCTTGCCATCCCTGCAGAGCAGGTGTGGGCGAAGGACCGGCCTTGCAGCCGGCCCGAACGGGCTTTCTGACCTGCGTCTGCCCCTCGGGCTCCTGGGTGAGGCCTTTACGTTCCGGGCTCCGCGTTCTTGAACTGGTCCGTGGGGCCGGTGCAGCCAGTTTCTGGCCTCTGGCAGTGGCGACATTGCCAGTGGACCCCAGCCCGTGTGCAAATGCCTCGGAGAGTGCGGAGGGTTGGCGGCCCCCCCGCTGTGCCTCAGCAGCCTGGGGGGGGGGGGGGGGGGCGTGGGTTTGCCTGCGACCGGCTGAGTCACCAGACCTTCCTGTGCCTCAGTTTCCTGATCCGTGAAGGGATGCCACCCCTGCTTTGCAGGGTTGTGTTTAGGGTAAGTGGCAGCAAAGTGCCCAGGAAGTGACGGGGCAGTGTGGTGAGACTCCAGTGGCCTTTGGGATTTGGGGACATGCATTCCCCCTAGGCCTTAGAGCGAAGTCACTAAGAGTGAATGTTCTGGGATTCTGTGGACCGGTTTTCTTCCGGTTGGGCCACCCACAGCTCTGTGGCCTTGGCTCTGGCACTAGACTTCCCTGGGCCTGAGGATAATGCCTTAATTTGTTTCGCCATTTCCTTTTTTTTTTGGTCTAGTTAACATCGGTCACCACAGTTGTTTTTTTTCTCTTTTGATGGGAACTTTTAAATTTCTCTTAGCAACTTTTCCAACGTTCAGTACAGTATCATGAACCAAAGTCACCATGTGGGGCATTTCATCCCCACGGCTGACGTATTTTATAGCAAGTGTGCACCTTTTGACCCCCTTCACCCATTTTGCCCACTCCCCATCCCCACCTCTGGCAACCACCCGTGTGTTGTTTGTGTCTGTTGAGGGGTTTTTCTTTCTCTTTTTTAAAGATTCCGTATGTAAGTGAGATCATACGATATTTTTTTTTCTCTGACGTATTTCTTTTTTTTTTTTTTTAAAGGTTTTATTTATTTATTTGAGAGAGAGAATGAGAGAGAGAGAGCACATGAGAGGGGGGAAGGTCAGAGGGAGAAGCAGACTCTCCGCCGAGCAGGGAGCCCAATGTGGGACTCGATCCCGGGACTCCAGGATCACGACCCGAGCCGAAGGCAGTCGCTTAACCAACTGAGCCACCCAGGTGCCCCGTATTTCTTTTTTTTAAAGATTTTTTTATTCATTTGAGAAAATGAGCAAGAGCACAAACAGTGGGGGAAGGTCAGCAAGAGAGAGAAGCAGGCTCCCCACTGAGCAGGGAGGCTGACTTGGGACTCGATCCCAGGACCCCCAGGACCCTGGGATCACAACCTGAGCCGGAGGCCTGGCTGACCGACTGACGTCCTCTCACGCATTTCAGTTTGCAGGGTGTCCACAGTTTTATCCAACTTGGCGGGATTTCCTTTTCTATAATTGTGTGTGTGTGTGTGTGCGTGCGTGCGCGCGTGTGCGTGTGTGTGCGCGTGCGCCTCAGTTTCTTATCAGTCAGGGATGCTTAGGTGGATTCCATGGGGCAGTGAATCTGTTACTGCCTTGTTTCTTTTCAAATTAGTGTTTTCATTTTCTGTGCGGAAATACCATGATACCTAGAAGTGGGGTTGCCGGATCACATGATAGTTGTATTTTTAGTTATGCGAGGCCCCTCCATCTGTTTTCCACAGCGGCTGCACCAGCTTACACTCCCACCAACACTGCATGGGGCTCCCTTTTCCCCTGTCCCCACTGACACCTGTTCTTGTCTTTTTGATACTAGGCGTTCTGATGGGTGGTAGCTCATGGTAGTTTTGATTTGCGTTTCCCTGGTGGTGAGTGGTGGTGAGCATCTTCTTATGTGTCTGTCGGCTGACTATAGGCCTCTGGAGAAATGTCTCTTCTGATCCTCTGCTCATATTTTAATTGTATTGTTGTCTTGCGGCTCAGTTACATGAGTTCATTTATTTTGGATATTAGCCCCTTGTTAGTATGTGGTTTTGCGAATACTTTGTTCCCTTCCGTGGACTGGCTTTCATCTTGTTGATGCTTTCCTTCTCTGTGCAGAAGCTTTTTATTTTGAGGTCGTCCCTTCGCTTGTTTGTTTTCCTTTTTTGCCTTTGGTGTCAGATTCAAAAAGCCATTGCCCAGACCTATGTCAAGGAACTTTCCCTTTCCCCGTTTTCTTCTAGGAGTTTTATGGTTTCAGGCCTTACGTTCATCTCTAATCCATTTTGAGTTTTTGTGTACGATGTGAGGTAGTGGTCCAGTTTCTCTCTTCTTCATGTGGCTCTCCAGCTTTTCAGCACCACTTAGGAGAGAGACTGTCCTGTCTCCAGTGTATATTTTCATGTCCCGGGTTGTAAATTAATCGATTGCATGTGCATGGGTTTATTCTGGGCTCTGTCCCGTTGATCTGTGGGCTACTGAGTTTATTATCATTAGTAAGCTGGAAGTCGTGGCATTCAGCACCATAGCTCACGAGGTTCAAGTGGTAGAAAGCACTAGTAACATATTGGAGAAAATCCATAGTATTAGTTTTTTGTTATGGTTTTGCCTAATACTTTTTTTTAAGGATTTTTAGTTTTTATTTATTAGAGAGCAGAGCAAGTGAGAACGAGTGGAGGGAGGGGCAAAGGGAGAGGGAGAAGCAGGCCCCTCCCTGAGCAGGGAGCCCGACAACACAGGGCTCGATCCCAGGACCCTGGGACCATGACCCAAGCCAAAGGCAGAGGCTTTACTGACTGAGCCACCCAGGTGTCCCTGTTTTGCCTAATATGATACACCAATATGAGGATAGAATTCATAAAATTAAAGGCAAGTCAGTGAAATAAAATAATCCATATTTAAGGTGCATTTAGAAATACAGAACCTCAAACAAAACATGAGCATCCCGGCAAATGTATTAAACATTTTATTCTAATAAATTATGAGCAAAGTGTTGGGCGCCTGGGTGGCTCAGTTGGTTAAGCGACTGCCTTCGGCTCAGGTCATGATCCTGGAGTCCCGGGATCGAGTCCCGCATCGGGCTCCCCGCTCAGTGGGGAGTCTGCTTCTCCCTCTAACCCTCTTCCCTCTCGTGCTCTCTGTCTCTCATTCTCTCTCTCTCAAATAAATAAATAAAATTAAAAAAAAAATTATGAGCAAAGTGTTTATAAATAACCACCATGTAAAAATGAAGCCATCTACGACCTCGGCGTGAGATTGTGCGATCTTCCTCCAAATGCAGGCAGGAAACCCGGATGCCCGAGTACGGTCACTGTTGTCACAGGAGTGTGCGTGGGTGGCCGTTTGCAGCTGCTTCAAGCTCTTTCCGACTCCCCGGTGCCAGGAAATGCAGACACGAGAGGAGCTCAGTCAGTTTTCCTCTGATGCGCTCATGCTCAAAGGCCTTTCTTCTTTGGTAATTTGGAGAACTTTCGAACAGCTCTTTGTTGCCTTGTTGGGATGCCCGTCTTCCTGAGAGCATTGTGCGTGCACCTTTCATCTTGTGCAGGTGGAGACCCTGGCTTTCCGTTCCTCTGTTTGGGGGGTGCCGGAAGGAGAGTCCACTCTACCCCCGCAGTCGGGGTGTGTGTTTCTGGGAGGTGGAGAGGCATCTTTTCTCCAGGGAGTGTGTTCACCTGGCGTCTTACCTGAGATGGTTGGTGCCCCACCTGCGGAGGCTGCAGAATGGTGGCTCTGTCAGCCCACGTTTGTCAGCTGGGATGCACTTAACCCTCTAGTGGTCGTGGATGTGGGTCCTGTGGTCACCTCCATTTTACAGATGGGGACACTGAGGTTCAGGCACGTGTCACAGTGCGTGGAGGGCAGGGGCCGGGTTCAACCCCGGTTGTGCTCTGAACCCCCGTGCCACTCTGCCGCCTGCACCACGCCCTCACTGGGCAGGCGCTGTGCCCGGGCTGAGCGGGGTGCTGGTGTAGACACAGGTCTGGCCTGGGAGGAGGTGCTGGTCCAGTGGGAAGACCGCCCTAGCAGAGTCCCCGTCCCCTGGGTAGCTGGCCCTGTTGGCAGGCCCTGTGTGGAGGGACCAGGGGGGGCGCTGGCTTGGCTGTGACCCAGGTGGCCACTGTGCTCAGGCGGGTGCGCGCGGAGGGAGCTGCAGGGCCTGGCGCCCCGAGAACACTCAGGCCTCTGGGGAGCTCCCTGAACCTCCACAAAGACCCGAGCGAGGAGCAAGAGGGGGGCAGCCCGGCCTCTTCTGTGGCTTTTTCTGTGGCAGTGGGAGGCTGCACACCTGCCCAGGAAGGAGCATCCAGGCTGGGAGTCAGGGCGGGCCGGGGCCGGTCTTCATGAGCTCTGAGGAGAAGGCTCCTAGGCCGGGCGGGGGTTCAGCTCCCAGCTGCTGTGGGGGTGGCCCTGCCCCCCAGCCCGCTGCACGCTGCTCTGTGGACACGGGCCTCTGTGGGGCAAGCGGCTTCGTCTCTTTGTTTGGCTTCCCTTTTCTCATCCGTGGAAAGGGGGTGCCAATAGTTCCCTCCCCTCCCCCCCGCTGCCCCCGGGAGGTCTCAAGGGTTAGTGGAGACGGTGGATGTCGGGTCAGCCCCTTCAGCCCCGGGCACAGAGCCGAGCCGCTCCTAGGAAGGCCGAGCTTGTCTCCCCCTGCATGCTCACTGTTCACCTTTCCTGCCCAGGTGACTCCGGGCCTCTCCGGGTACCCCTGCTCCTAACCCACCCCTGGCTTCTGTGGCCCTCGTACCTCCTCTTCCCACTAAGGGGGCTACCCTGTCCCCCACCTCCGTGAGGGGAGACCAGATGAACTTGCTCCTCAGCCCTTCTGCCTGTTGGTTTGGACACTTACACACATTTTCATTGTCCTCAGGTGTGTGTGGTTGATTTTCTATCCACAGTGGGTGGGGGGCTCCGACGGGAGGCCAAGCATCCCGGCTTGGGGGACCCGAGGTAACTGAAGGCCGCCTTCACCAGGCCCGTGCCTTTGCGCCCCCAGATCGGAAGTCTCACGGAACCGATGTATTTAAA